TGTTTTATATAAGAGAATGTCATTATTTGAATCAAATATGCTAGTGAAGGGGCAGGTGACTTTTTTCCCTCAGTGGATACTATGACAAAATGTTACAGATGGTTGTTTATACCTTGACATTTCAAGATTACTATGACATTTTGTGTCATCTTTAAAAAGCAAGGAAGAACAAGTTTTTTTCCTGGAATATATTCTGATTTGTTTAAATCACTGATTAATCAATTACTTTAATCAAATATGCTAGTGAAGGGGCAGGTGACTTTTTTCCCTCAGTGGATACTATGACAAAATGTTACAGATGGTTGTTTATACCTTGACATTTCAAGATTACTATGACATTTTGTGTCATCTTTAAAAAGCAAGGAAGAACAAGTTTTTTTCCTGGAATATATTCTGATTTGTTTAAATCACTGATTAATCAATTACTTTTCTTTATTGGGAGGGAATCCATTGAAAAATACATAAAGAATTCACATTAAATGTAATTTTCTCCCCAAATTCTACTCAATGCCTTAAATCTGTTTCCTATGGTAGAAAACTAAGGTATTCAAAAGGGAAACAGTTGCTTTGACAAACAGTCTCAGCCCCATTTTAGCCTGCTCCCGAACAGGCAAGCATAGAATACTTGAGATTTATTTTTAATTCACTTCTTTAGTGAAACCATTAATTCATGAAAAATATTAATGAATTTCTTTAATTCACTTGTTTCTTACATTGAAAAACCCGGTCAGTGTCAGGCTGTGGGAACATGTCCTCGGTTATCCACACTTACTCTGTATTTTTTCTACTTCATTTGTTATCAATGCTCATGAGCAGCTCCACAAATTTTAGCAAATTTGCTAAAAGTCACTATTTTTATAGATTTTTATGAAGTTTAGAAGACAGATGAGGTAAATGAGAAAGGGTTTAAACATACTGTTTGGAGAAATCATTTTACTTTAATTAATATTACTTTTCCCCTTCATACAATGGGCATTGAACACTATTAGATATATTAAATCTAACTGAAAAATGAAGTGTTTCCGCAGAGCATCTTTACTGCATGTATTTTAGGTAATATTACTGTGGTTGTATCCTAATTATTCAACAAATCCCAAAATATTAAAGTATCAAATTGAAATAGGTATTTTGTTACATGTTTATCATAGTCTCACAAAAGAAAAGAATATCCACAGGCTATTGATAAGGAAATAAATCAACATATAATTTATTTCTGGTGTTGGTTCAATAATCATTTTATAATTGTTTATTTCTATTTAAAGAAGCATCTAATGTTTTCAAAAACTACTAAAATATACCCAATGGTGTTTAAGAGAAAAAAAAAAACAGACTCACTATTTTAAGAAATACACAGATTCTCTTTATAGACAAAAATGTATTAAAAATGCTATTTTCTCTTAGGAGTAAAGGTTTTATCATGTGCCACATGATTTCAAAAGGTGCCAACATTCTGATAAACAACTTTTAAATTATTTTTTTCTCTTTTGGATTGAAGGCCCTAACACTCCAGTGCTATTATTTTCATTAAGTATTTAGGCTAGAACCAGCCACCCTGCACTACTTTAGCTAGGGGATTTCAGAGTTACTTACTGAGCACACAAAGCAAGTGTCGTGCCAGGTGTAGCCTAGAGCTTCCAGAAACATGTCTCCAGCTTCTATGGGGAATTCACATCCATGGCAGATAGTGCCAAAAAGGGCATAATAATCTGTATTGGGAGAGCGAGGAGAGATGCAGTTTAAATATGACAAAACCTTAGAATGATAGTTTATAGAGGACAGAAACAAAACTGGGATTAAATGAGATGCCGAAGGCAAAGATAGTAGCAATCAGAAAAATTTTCAAGAAACAGCATATTTGGTTTGTGACTCGTTTAGGATGTTTCACGTTTCTCTTGGTAAATAGTATTTACACAATTTAACATTCTTTATTATATTTTTTCATCATACTTCTCCAACTATCTTGTAGAAGGATAAAAGAATATTATTATGATAAAAATATTTAATAATTAATAATAAAATTAACTACTTGAGAACAAATATCTGACATCAGCAAATTTCACAGGGTATCTGATCTCATAAAGAGTTAGTGGCATGGCTGAGTTTCTAAGCCAGACCAAATCACAATACTCGCCACAGTTTTTTATAGTTTATTTCCCTTTTAATTATTACTACTAAATTAGAATGTCATCATCATATTTTTCTTTTCCTTTACACAGCTCCACTCACTACTGTGCTGACTCAAGATTGCCCTCAGCTGAGGGCAAGCAGGCTGTAAACTATTCGATGCACCCTTTTCAGCAGTCTTCAATAACCTGAGTACCATGGGCTCAAGATATGCCAGGTCTTGTTTGCCAGGTGTCAGTCTAGGCATTCAGAGGCACAGCGATGGAGAAGATAAGTGGATGCTTTCCTCATGGGCCTTACAGTCTCACTGGGAACAGAATGTCATCATTTATTGAATATTAAAGAGAAGTGGAAAGAAGTAATTACAGGTCATGCTAAGTACCGTGAAGGAAATAAAACAGTGTTATGATACAGAATAATTTGGGCATGTGTGTGCATGCTTCAGAGGAAGGTTAGGATAGGATAGGCTTTTCTGGGGTGATAAAAGGTACTATGGGGGTAACAGCCTGAGCTGCCGTGTGACCTTCCTACCTCCGTCTCCCAGAATGCTGGGATTACAGGCGTGTACTACCACAGTCGGGTTCACATTTTAAAAACATTACTGTAGTTTCTCTGTAGTCGCTCTTTAGGAGATGAGGAATATATATATTAAGCTATGATTACAGTGCCCAGGTGAAGAATAAGAGCAATTTGCATTTGGTGACAGTTGAGATGGAGGAAAAATAAATCCTCATTACACTGGAAGTAGAGCTGCCAGGATTTACTTTTTAGGTTGGGATATGAGAAGAACAGGAGAAAGGGCAGAATCCAAAGTGCCCTGTAGGGTTTTGGATAACAACAGGGAAGGCTGAGTTAAAAAAACTGGTATGAGAGGTTAAAGAAAAAGAAAACAAAACCAGATCATGATGGTTAGAAGCAACATTAACATGAGTCTTTAAAATATTTTTCTAATTCTGTAAGAAATTCTTTGTGTATTTAAAATGTGACTTCTTAGAATACATTAAATATGATATGAAGGTTAGATAGCTTTCTATGTTTTGGCTAGAGAGGAATTACCTGCCAGTTAGTCAAAACATCCTGCAAAGCTTCTAAAACAAGCAAACCAACCATCTAAACAAACAACCACCATCGGGAAAAATAGGTCCTTCTTCAGAAAGATTAAGTGGAATTATAAAATGTGAAATATTCTGCTTGAATAGGGCAGGCAGCTTGTAGCCAAATCTATACCGACACAACCCAAGGAGTATCTTTTTTTTTTAATTTTATTGAATTTATTAGTACATTTCAGGGATACAGTACAGTTACATTCATTGTTGGGATCATGTACCTCTACATGGCAAGTCTTGATTCTCATTTTTTCCCCTTACCTCTGCCCT